GAAACCAATGGCTCGCTCGGTCCTGAGCGAACCGCGCTGGTAACCCGAAAACGCCCTCTTCGCCAAATTGCACTCGTGCCCCCGAAAGACCCTGTCACAGGAGATCTCAGTTCTGGCCTGGGAGTCCACTTTCCCCACAAATCCTTGGCACACCCCTTTTCGCACTTCCAGGCCCACATCCCACTACGATCAGGAAGTCGCGCTGGGCGTGAGGTTGGGGTTCACAGCCCTCGGAGCAACCCCGTTATAGGGGACACGAGAGAGGACTTCTGGAAGAAACTCACGGACTGGATATCGCTCAACCCGCTGTCCCGGCCATGACAACAAAGCATCATCGAAAGCACTATTGCCCACAGACAAACACTGCCTTTTTTCAGCAGTATTGGCCAGGGGGGGGTTGGTGCAAGAAATTAGTATGGTTCTTCAGATAGGCTACTATAATCAGACAGAACGCCATGGGGCAGATCGCGGTAACCTCCAGAGAACACTTAATTTGACCGAGCCTCCTCGTCCCACACCCAACCGCAACATCAGAAGAGCTCCTGTTGCCAGCCCAACCCATGAACCGGGGGTGGTCCCCACCTCAGAAAGTGTGGAGGCTGGAGTGGGCTTCAAGAGTGCACGTCAAGGAGAGGATATCCCTGACTATAGTACCGACTACTTACACATTTTCTGTCGGCTTTACTCCCGTTCCACCATCAACCTAGCTTGCTCCTCTGTCCCGACCTTTGCCAAGATTGGATGGGACTACATTTGCTTCTCGACTTAAAGTTTTCCAACTTAGTCCACAAGTGCTTTAGGGGGACCCCCACTTTCAGCTCCTGACTAACCGATCGAAAGCTGAAATTAGGGTTTGGGGACTTTGGGGGTCAAATTTTTCGTGTGGTTGATTTTTTTTTTTTTTTTTTTTTTTTTTTTTTTTTTTTTTTTTTTTTTTTTTTTTTTTTTTTTTTTTTTTTTTTTTTTTTTTGCCTGTTTTTGTTTCCCCCACTTTCAGCTCCTGACTAACGCGTCCAAAACTGAAAGTAGGGTTTGGGAAATTTGGGGGTCTTTTTTTTTTTTTTTTTTTTTTGCGTGTTTTTGTTTTGGTTTAAGGTTGCTGTGTGCCAAATTTGGTTCATTTGGGCCATTGGAAGTTCCTCTTTTGAGATTTCTAAAATTGGAATGTTGGCAAGATTTCATGAAAGTGCACTTTTGCCTTGCTGTTTTATAGTTTTTTTTTTATTTTTAAATTGAGTTTTTTTTTAAGCCCAGTTTGTTGAAAAGGCTGGATTATAGACATATGAGAGTCACCTTCGGCACTCGGCGATATGGTAGAGGCCCTCTAACCCCATGGGACTCCCTCCCAACCTACTTCTTTCGTAATTTCTCCCGGTGCACTCCTACTCCCACCACTATCCTACCTCAGTGTCTACCACTCTGTATCGTCACCCTCCAGCCTTGGGGGTGACCTGGCCGAACAGTGGTTGTAGGTACCAGGGCTAAGCTGAGTCTCGCCCACCTCACTCAGCACCGATCGAAGCATATTTGAGTGAACCTTGTTGCCCGGGTAGTTCAGGTACTAGGTACAGACGTTTCACTACAAGTCCCATAGGTGGACCTATTTTGTGTAAGTAATTAGTATGATCCCCACTCTATGAATTGGTGGCAAGTTTGGTTAAAATGACCTATTTTGTGTAAGTAAATAGTATGATCCCCACTCTATGAATTGGTGGCAAGTATGGTTAAAATGACCCTTGTTCTTTTTTTCTTTTTTTTTTCCGAAACAAAAAGGGGGCCCAGTGCCCAAGGCTCAAATTATCAATTGGAATACAAGAATTGAGACACGCCTCTTCCCATGAAGGCTGGAAGAGCCCCGGCCACTGCGCCCCATGAGACAGCTTCCCTAATCATTAGAAAGAGACACAGGCAAGAGGCATTGATTGCTTCCATAATCAGGAAGGATTAACCTCTCACCCT